GCTCGAGCTACCGCCCGATTTCGCTCCTAAATTCGGACCTTAAGCTCTTTGCCAAGGCCCTGGCCCGAAGGATCTCTCCGATCCTTCCGGACCTCATCCACCCCGACCAAGTCGGGTTTATTCCGGGTAGGGAAGCCAGAGACGACACGATACGTGCACTCAACGTCATCCACATAGCGAAAACCAGGAAACGCGAGACTGTACTGCTATCGACGGACGCCGAAAAGGCGTTTGACCGAGTAGATTGGACATATCTCACATCCACTCTCCGCCATCTACGATTCGGTCCCCAGCTATGCAACTGGGTGTCAGCACTGTATACGACGCCGACGGCGCGGATCCGCATTAACGGAACCCTCACGCAAGCCTTCCCCATCAGCAATGGCACACGCCAAGGCTGTCCCCTGTCCCCCCTCCTGTTTGCCCTCTCTCTAGAACCATTTCTGGAGGCGGTCAGACAGGACGGGGGCATTACGGGGGTGACGCTGGACGCGGAGGTACACAAGGTGGCAGCGTACGCGGACAACATGCTGTTCTTCCTAGAACAACCCCTCATCTCTATCCCTAATCTCCTCCAGGCGTTCCGCAACTACCACCAAGTCTCTAATCTGAAATTGAATCTAGAAAAAATCTGAAGCCCTGCCCTTACAAGACGACGCCGGGTTGGCTGAACGCCTGAGCGCTAAGTTTGCCTTCGCGTGGCGAACGGTCAAGCTGAGGTACCTGGGCACCTGGTTGCCACGCGACCTCTCGCAGCTTTATCAACTGAATTTCCCCCCCCCCTCCTCGCGAACATCCAAAAGGATCTCCTCAGATGGTCCCTGCAATACCTCACCTGGTTCGGCCGCATACAAGCGCTGAAGATGAACGTCCTCCCCAGACTCCTGTATCTATTCGCGACGCTGCCTACCACAATCCCACAATCATTCTTCCGCACCCTGACACGGGAAATTCGAAGCTTTGTATGGAACCGTTCGGTGTCCCGCATACGTAGGACCACGCTGGAACGGCCAAAGGTCGCGGGGGGAGCCGGGCTCCCTTCCGTGCAGCGATACTACCAGGCCACACACCTGCAGAGGCTAGTTGACTGGCACGCACGCCCAAGCACCAAACGATGGGTGCTTATGGAGACCCAGCAGTCGCAGGGCGCAATCCCGGCCCGAATCTGGCTCGGATCGGTCACCTACTCGGAACTCCGAACCCAAAACCCACTCATTGACGCCACCCTCGGAGTCTGGTGTAGGCTGCGCTTTTCCCACCAACTCACCACATCACCTAACCCACTCACCCCGATCGCTTACAACCCGAACCTAGCGGGGGGCCTCCCCCCCGCGGCCTTTCGGAACTTCCTCCAGACGGACTGGATCTACTTACACAAATGGATCGTTGACAGGACCCTCAAGCCACTGCTCGACGTCATCACTACCCAGCAACCGACCCCGCTTGATAGGTTCCTCTTCCACCAGGTTAAAACCTATTACACGACCCTACAGGGCAAAGACCACATTCACAGACAACTGACTGACTTCGAACGGCTATGCACAGACAGGAAACATATAGAACATGCGGTATCATACCTCTACACAAGCCTACAGTCACTGAGCAATGACAGCCCACTCGGGTTTACGGAAAAATGGGAACGTGAGACGGGCACACACTTGACTACCCAAGAATGGGAGAAAATCTTTCTTTTAACACACAAATGCTCCATAATCTCCAAATACCAAGAGATGAGCTATAAATTACTCACACAATGGTATAGGACCCCGGAGGTACTAAAACATATGCACGACACAGCCTCTGGAGAATGCTGGAGATGTAATTCCGCCCCTGGCTCCAATCTCCATATCTGGTGGTCATGCCCCCGCATAGTCCCGTACTGGAAACTGATACACACAAAGATTAAGGAAATCACAGACTCAGACCTCCCACTACAACCACTGCCAATGCTTCTCCACCACACAGCCACTTCTACACAACAATACAAAAAATCCCTTACGATACACCTGCTCTCCGCTGCTAAAAGCCTCATTCCACTACACTGGAAAAGCCAGACAGTACCCACCTACACACAGTGGGTGGATAAGGTGGAGGAAATCCATAATATGGAAATGATGACTGCATCCCTGCGGGAGCGCTCGGACAAATGTGCCCTCCTCTGGTACCCCTGGACTACCTATACGGCACAGAGATGGACTTGACCCCCAAACTCGCTCCTCCAAGCGATGCCTGATATAGCCATTGTAATCCCACCCCAACTCCACTGTTAGACCCCCGACTCAGACTCCCCCCCCCTTCCCCCTTGGCTGTGCCATGCCAGGACCAGACATCACCAGAGCTTTGAATGCCCATTGGACTGAACACTCAAAAACCGACCACATATGTAGCTTTCGCCCTCTCCCTCTAAGCAAGGCGTCAACCCACCAACATTAATGGAGTATAACCGCAAGTTCCTGAATAACATGAACCCACTTAAATCTCAAGTGGCACACCTGCGCAGCGCCCTATGCCCCCGACTGAGAAACACCCTGGCGGACACACCGCAAGTTAAAGATGCATTGACCTAGGGAAACACACTGAACGCAGCCCTGTACCACCAACAGAACTGACGCTCTATAAAGGTTGATGTCACGCATTGTAACCTGATAATTGTCAACCCCCTTCCCTCCCCCACCCTTTTCTCTTTTTTCTGTCTCCCATCAAAAAAAAAAAAAAGAAAGACAAATTTGTTGAGAAAAACTATTCCGAAACAGAACTTGCTAGCATCATTAGGGATATCCAAAACAAAGATAGAAATTAACTCCTAGAATATAAACCTAAATCCAAAGACGAATCGATGCCTTTACCAATTATTTTTAATTTCAATAATAAGAGCGCCCGAATATAATATTTAGAGGAGCCAAAAATTTCAAGTCAATACTAACTAACAATTATACTAAGGAAGTGAAAAATATACCATCTTTATCCTTCTTTCCACAGATTAAAGGGTTTTGTAAATGCAAAATGTGTATAGTTTGTAAAACAACCGATCCTACTGCTCCCTGTAAAGTTACACAATTTATGTAGAAACGGACAAACAAGGTCTACAAAATTCATGATTTTATTAATTGCTCTACTAAAAATGTTATATATCTGCTCGAATGCCCTTGTGGTCTCCAATATGTTGGAATGACCACAAGGTGTTTGAAAACACGTTTAAGTGAGCATTGCAGAAATATCAAAAATGGATACCAGAACCACTCAGTATTCAAACATTTTATTCAGCATAATAGAGACCCAAGAATGTTAAAATGTATAGGTATAAAGAAATGTACAATTCCATGGAGGGGTGGAAATATTAAAAATGTCTTGGGAAAAATAGAGATGGAATGGGTGTACAAGCTACAAACTCTGACACCCCATGGCCTCAATGTAGACTTTGACCTTTTTAATTTTTTATAAACACATTTGTTGTTTTATCCCTACATCCTTTTACATTTGGAGTTTATATATTTTTATTTTTCCATGTTTTAATTCTTATTTTTTTACCAATAGTGTTCCTGTTTTAGTGTTTTTATTGTCTTTTATATATATTATAATTCTGTCAATATCCCTGGCCGGCCACACACTTGTGTGAGCTGACAGGGCTTTTTTGGTTGCCTTGACGACGGCCGCAATCCTTTGCGCACCGTTGTCACTTTCTATTCCACCCCCTCCGCTGACGTCAGCCGCAATATGCGAGCTGACGTCTTCCTACTTTCTCCCACACATTGACGCCGGCGGCTGTGCAGTGCACGCCGGCGCCTGTACTGACGTCAGCCTTATACTATGACCACCCATTTAGACGCCGGCGGCTGCGCAGTGCGCGCCGGCGTCTAAAAACTACCGCACCCATACCCCTATGCGGTAATATGCCGCTCACATGACCGAGCAAATTAAGTTTTATAATCCCATTCACATTCTTCGTTTTTTATATTCTACTAAGTAATATGTATCACAATATTTATATAACTATATAAATACTATTTTCCTGTTTTTTAGTGTTTTATAAATTTTATGTTTTATTTCAACCTTTTATTTACTCTTATCGCTTGAAGCTTTTTACACTATTGGCTCTCTACTATTTTATTTTCTATATATACGAGCGGATCTTCACGGAGGAATACTAAAGGACAATTTTCCTGGATCAAGCACGGATAGATTCTACTTTAGATAAGACTTTCCGTTTTATTGTACCGATTTATTTGGACTGTTTGTCATTTTTTGTTCCTGTTGGCGCAGCCCTTACCCATTACTTTCTCTTTCTTCCTGTATTATTCCTAAGGGTTCTTGAGGGACTTCCTTAAAGAGTTGCTGCCCCCCTATATATTAGTCAGCGCTCACTCTCTGTTTTTGTTTTTACAACGCAATGATTGCAAGCTCACAGGCCCAGAATACGCTATAAGCATAATGCAATGATTGCAAGCTCACAGGCCAAGAATACACTATAAGCACAATGCAATGATTGCAAGCTCACAGGCCCAGAATGCGATATTAGCACAATGCAATGACTGCATGCTCACAGGCCCAGAATACAATATAAGCAGAGAATACGCTATAAGCACAATGCAATGATTGCAAGCTCATAGGCCCATAATACGCTACAAGCACAATGCAATGATTGCAAGCTCACAGGCCCAGAACACGCTATAAGCACAATGCAATTGACTTAGAACTCCGACCACCCCTGGCTGGCAACCGCAATTAAGGAGTACTTGAGTGCTTTCCCTGGGTGGCTGCCATTTTGTCTCCCGAACGCAGGCAGCAGTACTTGGTTGTCGAGTGCGTGGAACTAATTTCGTCTACACGTTCTCGCGATCCCCAGTCAAGATATTACTGCTGCCTGTACACCCTGTTCCAAATTATTATGCAAATTCTATTTAAGTGTCACGAAGATTAAATATTTTGTTTTGCAGTTTAACTCATGGATGGCATTGTATCTCAGGGCTCTTTTGATCACTGAAAACAATCTCGGACACCTGTGATAATTAGATTGCCAGGTGAGCCCAATTTAAGGAAAAACTACTAAAGGAGGGTGTTCCACATTATTAAGCAGAGCACCATTTTCATGCAATATGGGGAAGAAAAAGGATCTCTCTGCTGCCGAAAAGAGTGAAATAGTTCAATGCCTTGGCCGAGGTATGAAAACATTAGATATTTCACGAAAAGTTAAGCGTGATCATCGCACTATTAAGAGATTTGTGGCTGATTCAGAGCACAGACGGGTTCGTGCTGATAAAGGCACATTGAGGAAGATTTCTGCCAGATCCATGCATCGGATCAAGAGAGCAGCTGCTAAAATACCATTACATAGCAGCAAACAGATATTTGAAGCTGCTGGTGCCTCTGGAGTCCCATGGATATCAAGGTGTAGAGTCCTCCAGAGTCTTGCAACTGTGCATAAACCTTCTATTCAGCCACCACTAACCAATGCTCACAAGCAGAAATGGCTGCATTGGGCAGAAAAATACATGAAGACTAATTTTCAAACAGTCCTGTTCGCTGATGAGTGCCGTGCAACCCTGGATGGTCCAGATGGATGGAGTCGTGGATGGTTGGTGGACGGCCACCCTGTTCCATCAAGGCTGTGATGTCAGCAAGGCGGTGGTGTAATCATGTTTTGGGCCGGAATCATGGGAAGAGAGCTGGTCAGCCCCTTTAGGGTCCCCGAAGGTGTAAAGATGACCTCTGCAAAGTAAGTAGAGTTTCTGACTGACCACTTTCTTCCCTGGTACAGAAGGAAGAACTATGCTTTCCGTAATAAAATCATCTTCATGCATGACAATGCACCATCTCATATTGCAAAGAATAACTCTGCATCAATGGCTGCTATGGGGATAAAAGGAGAGAAAGTCCTGGTGTGGCCTCCATCCTCCCCTGACCTTAATCCTATTGAGAACCTTTGGAGCATCCTCAAGCAAAAGCCCTATGAGGGTGGGAGGCAGTTTACATCCAAACAGCAGCTCTGGGAGGCTATTCTGACATCTTGCAAACAAATTCAAGCAGAAACTGTCCAAAAACTCACAAGTTCAATGGATGCAAGACTTGTGAAGCTGATATCAAATAAGGGGTCCTATGTTAAAATGTAACGTGACCTGTTAAAATGTTTAAAAAGTTAAAATGTCGTTATATGTTTGATTGAAATAAATTTTGATTTCAGTAAATATGCTGCAAACACAACAAATAACAATTATCAGTTCTTTACAACCTATAAAGTGTTTTGAAACTTCCCTGTAAACTTGTCCTGTGTTTGAAAATTCCCTCTAAATTTCTCCTGGAGACCTCATATGTGACGAAGTGCCCTTCGGCACTTGGTCCTGGAGAGGCCTGCTTGCCAGCCTCCTCCCCTGTGACTATGACGCTTCCATGTATTTGGATTTAAAGCCCCTATTCTACCTTCAGACAGACTATTTATGAAGGTTGCTTTATTTATCTTATGTTTTAGTCACCCTGTATCCATTATAGGTGCAGGGTGTGTGTAATGTAATTGTTTATAGTGTGTGTGTGTGTACTGTGAAATGTATTGCCTGCTCTCCTGTACTGCTGAGGTTTGCTACCAACTAGGTGGATTTGGCTATGGAGCTTGTCTAGTGCCCTCTGTTGGTAGCAACAGCAATATGCACTACCTGAATAGCAAGACTGGTTCATTTGCATATTTGGGTAGATTTGCATATTGCTAATTCTGCAGGCACGTGAGATATTTTCTGTTAAATATTGTCTCCTCCACCCCTTTAAAAATATGCCATTGTGTTATAATAAGTCACTGTATGTTGCCTGTTATGATTTGGCTGTTTGTAATTTTATTGAGTTTTCACAGCAATGTTAATGTAATGACCATATGGGCTAGTCCCAAGTAAAATAAAGGTTTAGACAGTTCTTCTTGATCCTTCTAAATGTATCCTTGTCTCGTTATTGGAGGGAGCTGTTATAATCACACTGGGGATTGCTATGCTCTGCATGCTCCCCTGAGCTTGAATCACTTAGCTTTTTTAAAAGCTTGTTCCTGATACGCTCTCCTTGGAGGAGGGATCTTCCCCGCGCAGTCCTGGATGCTGGAAGGAAGAGGTCTTTCCCACACGGTCCTGGAGGACAGAAGCTGATCCAGGGTGGAAGGAAGGCGGCGAGACTCCAGTCAAGCTACAACGGTTGCGGAGTCTGCGGTGGTTGTGGTGTCTGCTGCAGTGCTTGGAGTCCTCAGGAAGTGCTAGGAGCATCCTTCAACGGAGGTACCCAGTCGAGGTGCCAGGTGATCCGTTACACCATACTATGGGGATGTGCATAAAAAGCCTTGTGTGGGGTATTAAAAAACAGTTCACTCCCAGAACTGTGTGTCGTCTAGTTACTGGGGGAATGGGCTATATTTACTAACCAGCGATTCCCTTCTAGCTCGAGAGGGTTACAGCAGAGATATAATGAGTCTCAGCATTGCAGGTCCGCTACAATGATATTAGATCAATGCAATGATTGCAAGCTCACAGGCAGGGCCGGCCCACGGCTGCACAGCACAATTACAGGGTGACTGGCAGGAAGGTCTAATGGGACACATGGGAGCAGGGAGGTATGTTAGTGGGACACATGGGGGCTGGGAGGGAGGTCTAATAGGACACATGGAAGGCTGGGGGCTAATGGGACACATGGAGGTGCTACTGAGATACATGGGAGGGCTAATGAGACACATACAGGGTTGGGAGGGGGCTATTGTACACATGGAGGGCTGGGGGCTTGTGGGACACAGGGAGGGGTGGGAGGGAGTATAGGAACACATGGAGGGCTGGGAGGGGGTTATTGTACACATGGAGGGCTGGGGGCTAGTAGGACACAGGGAGGGCTGGGGAGAGTATAGGAACACATGGAGGGCTGGGAGGGAGGGCTAGTTGGACACATGGAGGGCTGGGGGGGGCTATATGGACGGAGGGAGGGCTAGTAGGACACATGGAGGGCTGGGGGCTAATGGGACACATGGTAGACTGGAGAGGGTGGAATGAGACACTTGGAGGGCTGGGAAGTGCTATAGAAACACATGGAGGCCTAGTGGGTCACACGGAGGGCTAGGGGGTCCTAATAGGACACATGGAGGGCTGTGGGGTAATGAGACACATGGAGGGCATGGGGAGTAAAAAGACACATGGTGGTGTGTAGGGAGAAAGAGGCAGTGGGTTGGGAAAGGGGAGAATGAGACACACAGAGGGGCTGGGAAAGGGGAGAATGAGACACACAGAGGGGCTGGGGAAGGGGAGAATGAGACACACAGAGGGGCTGAGGAAGGGGAGAATAAGACACACACAGGAGCTGTGGGGAAAGATACACATAGAGGTGCTGGGGCCTAGGAAAGATACTGACAGAAGGGCTGGGGAAAGGGAGAAAGAGACAATGGGGTTGGGGTTAAGAGACACATGAAAGGGGCTTGGGGGAGAAATACACAAACAAAATGCATCTTCACTTGTGTCTCCTGCTCTCCGTGTAACTCAGAGTCGACCGGTGAGATAAAGACGTTGTATTAAAGGGACACCATAATCACCAGAACTATTACAGGGGGAGGAGATGATCGGTCCCTCTACCCTACAGCAGAAAGCGTCCTGGGGAGTGGAGGCAACCGGCCTCACCTTCCAACAACAGCCAGAGATACTGGGAGAGGAGACAACTGGTCCCTCTCCCCAACTACAGGGGGACAGCGCCCCTGACCCCAATGGTGCAGATGGAACCGCGGTCTTTGCATCATTGCTGGACAGCCATCTCAGATCCCCAAGAGCTACAGCAGGAATACCAGAAGGAGGAGGTGGACGATCCTTCCCTGCAGCAGCAAATTCACAACCGGGTCCTGGGGGTAGTGGATGAGATGGCAGTGTCCACTGACCCCATCCTAGCAGAAGAGCAGGCACCCGAGCAGAAAGCAGTTGGCCTCTGCCCACCCCTTTTCCCTTTGTCCAGGGCCTGCATACCCACAGGCCACCCCAGCAGAAGTGCTGGCACCAGGGCAGAGTGCAGTTGACCTCTGCTCTCCCCTTGTCCTTAGTCCAAGACATGATGACCCTCTGATCTACCCAGCTGTAACGCTGGCTGCGGGGCAGAGCACAGCTGGTCTCTGCCCACCGGGTATCCCCAACTCCAACAGAAAGGCCGGAGAGCAACAGAGAGGCCGGGAGAACCATATGCTCACTTAACAGCTGGAGACACATAGGACAGAGCCGGGCTAAAGAAGTCACCAGGTCCAGTACTTGTGTAGCAGAGTAGTAGGTTAATCCACGGTATCTCCGCTGGTAGTCAGGATACAGTATACAAAATACAGGACACATAGTTTGGGAGTCAACTGAGCTTTTATTACAAGGTCACCATATTTATTTAAGTCCCCATGCAAGGGGTTTCCAGACTGGCATTGCAGGGGTTTTCCTCAGGTGGACTCTGTGGAAAACTTAACCTGCAATGTTATTTCCCATCATACATTGCTGTACTGGAGAGATAATTGCGCAAGAATATACTGTTAATTGCATTAACTCTCTTTACAGCAAAATACACCATGTCACATAAAAATATGTAACTTGTACATTTTTGCTTGGATTTGTTCGAATGAATGGCTGAGATCTGAGCGCATCATCTGGTGAAATACCTCTCAGATCCATTCACTAGAATAGCAAAGCCATTCGAATGAAGGGTTCATACGAACACACACACAACGATACATTGGACCATAAGCTTTAATTTGTCGAACGTCGTCTTATTTAACGAACGAACCTTTTAAACGAAAGACATGGAAGTCCAGCGGTGTTTGTGAAGTCGTTTAGCCGATTTTAGTTCCACGCACTCGACGACCAAACACCGCTGGTCTTTCGTGAGCAAAGATGGCCGCCGCCACGTGTTCCGTTAAGCGAACCGCAACCATCCGCAAAACCATTAATGAGCGGCAGTTACATTGTTGCTATTTCATTAATGGGAGACACACGCGTCCCTTGTGTGGTCTCCCATTTGGTAGTTTTATTCGTTTCACGAACAGGGGGCTTAAATACTGTTTGTGAAACTAATATATAAAGGCTCGCGGTTTCTTGCCGCTAGCATACGAATGCTCTTTACCCAGACATAAGAAAACCTAACAAAATCAACGTATTCACCCAGTGCTTAGTGTCCAGAAGTGGCTAAGTTTGCCACAATGCTCCCCCAGATTTACAAGCCGGCATACACAGGCTTGGGGATG